AACTTTATACTATATACTTAGCTATTACATATGATCAGCTAATTACCTAATCACAATTAAAATCACAACTATATAAATTTAAGATCTTAAGCAATGTGAAATCAAAACAGTAAGATTTTATCATGGTTGTTTGTAGAAAAGGTGTTAAAAAAGTATGTAACAATAAAAAAAAAAGATGTTAGTGGTTTGTAAGAGAAAAATTAATAGTTTTATATTATTTACAAGAAACTAAAAGTATAAGAGCAACTGCAAAAAAGTCTAAACTTCAATCTAAACAAGTACATGATTGAAGAAATAAAAAAAAAAACATTAATGGCAGCTGCACTATAGATTCAAAAGTTAAATAAAGGAAGATTATCTAGCTTTCCTGATCTTGAAACTAAATTAGCTTTGTGGATTAAGGATATTCATAGTAAAGAAAATACAGTTTCACGTTTTATAGTTACTGAAAAAGCAAAAAAAATGGCAACAAGACATGCTTATCAAATTTAGTATCCCAATTTTATCTCATTTAAATTTTTAAATAAATGGTTAGATGAATTTATGGTTAGGTATGATTTTTTAAATCGTCACTATACTACTGTTTCTCAATATCTTCCTAATAATCTAGCTGAAAAGTAGCAAAATTTTTTAAGCTATATACTATACCAATGTAACTAGCATCAATATCCTCTAAAGTATATAGGAAACATGGACAAAACTTCACTTTTATTTGATATTTCCTATAATACTAGTTTAGAAAAAACTAGATCAAAAACTATAAGAATTTGTACTACTGGTTATGAACGAGCAAACTTTACTATTATTTTAGCATGTATAGCTAATGGAGATAAATTACTAGCTGTTATAATTTTTAAACTAAAGAACTACTCAAAACAAGAAACATTTCCTATAGGTGTTTATGTGTGTAATAATGAAAAAGGTTGGTGCAATGAAAATGAGATGCTTTGGTAGATCAAAGAAATTTGGAAAAAGTGAAATTTAACTGGAAATCCTTGATCTTTGCTAATTTATAATATATTTAAAGGATATACAGTTGTTTTTGTTAAAAATAGACTTAAAGAAAAGAATACAAATATTGGTGTAATTCCAGGTGGATTGACTTCAAGGTTACAACCTCTTGATATATCTGTTAATCATAGTTTTAAAGCAAAGATAAAATTTATTTATATTATTTAATATTGGTAATAGTAGTTAATACTGGTAATAGTAATTTATTATTTATTGTAGTGTTAAATATTGTATACAGATTGGATGACAAATACAGTATATAAGCTTACTAAAGCTAGAAAACTCAAACAACCTTCATATGCATTAGTTGCAGAATGAGTAAAAAAAGCTTGGAAAAATGTAAATCCAGAACTTATTAAAAGATCATTCAATGTTGTGGTATTTCTATTAAAACAGATGGCTCTGAAGATGATCTTTTATTTGATTATGATAGAGTAGAACAATTAGAAAAAGCAAACTGATTAGAATCAAAAGAAAATAAAATTATAGCATTAGATGAAGCTACTGAATTGGATAAAGTTATAGAATTGGATAAAGATATAGAAATAGATAATACATATGAAGCTTTAGAAGATAAGGAAAATGAATATTATGCTGATGAGAATAAATATGTTAACTGTTTAGTAAAATCTCAAGAAATCAACATTATTGATAATAATCTTAAAAATATGAATTTAGGCGAGGATAATGAAGAGGATAGTGATTTAGAATAATATTATATTATATTTTCAATATTTGATTAGTTCAATTTGAGTATAAAGATTATTTGTATACATATATTGTATAGCTTGATATAAAAAGTTGTTAAATAAAAAACTTTGCTTTTAATCAACTACGTGATATCATATGTTTAATTATGCTTTTTAGATTTTTCTAAGTTTCGAATATAAAAATTTTCGATATAATAATGTTAGAATTTAGGGTTAGAGTTAGTGTTTGAAAAGGATTTTTAGATTCATAAAGCATTTTTATTTAGGACATCTTGAACTAATTAATTAGCTGATTTTTAAGATAATATAGATATGTTTTAGTAAAAATCAAGAATATATCCCTTAATCTGTCTAGCAGTCAAATTTGCTTGCTTAATTTTTAAAAAATTGATTTTTTTTTAATAAAATTTTAAATATTGATTTTAGCTATATATTTTCTAAGTAAAATATTT